TCGGAAGTGATTCCACATTCGGTGTCGATTTGATGATTTATTCGGCCGCAGAAGCCTCCCGTACTTTGGGGCGTCGTCGCTTTCAGGACGTGTCAAGCGGGAACCCCGTTCCTGCTTTGAGAAGGCGGTGCTGAAAGCAGAGCCAGCGGGTGCTCTCCATCAGCCCCGCCTTGTGTGGAGCTTTTCAGGGAGCCCACTGCATCTGCCGGAGCGGACGAGGGGCGGGGGGGACAGCAAGGGGGGGGCGAGAGAGGGGGGGTGCAGAGTGGCGCATCAGCCGCGGCACGCAGCAGATTCGGCACCCCTTTTTCCTAGAGGCCACCTCGACGGGGTCGGAGGAGCAGCTGCGGTCAGAGGATCGCGCTGCACCGCCGGTGCACTGGCGATGCATCGGCCGTGCACCCGCGATGCTTCGTCGAAGTTTGCCCGTCCTCCACGGGCCGGGCCCGCCCGCGCTCGCGGGGCCTGGCGCGCGGAGGGGCCTGCACGGCCGAAGCCACGCGAGCGGCGAGAAGAAGCGGGCCTTACGCCAGGTAGGAGGCCTCCCAGATGGGGTCGGAGTGGATGGGGTCGGCTTACGCTAGGTAAGAGGCCTACTAGATAGGGTCGGGGCAGATGGGGTCGGAGGATCGCGACACATTGCCGATGCCTCGGCGATGCATCGATGAAGCACTGGCGATGCATCGTCGACGTCGGCGATGCATCGGTGACATCGACGTGCAGCACATCGGGCTGCACGTCGGGCCGCATCGGCGAAGCATCGGCGATGCGGCGTGATCCTCCCGCCCCATCTATAAAGCGGCCCCAGGACACACAAATAAATACACACAACTAAAAATGTCCCCCATATTTTCCGATATCTTCCCATATGTTCCTATATTTTCCTGGGAGTGAACGATTAATTGTGTCTGTGTGTATTTTCCCCTCCTGAATCTACTCCGACCCCATCTAGGAGGCCGAGAAAGATGGCATGGCCTCCTCACGCGGTGGCTTGCGCGGGCCGCCGGCGCAGCACGCTGCATTGGAAGCGAGGGCGCTCACGCGCAACATCCTTGCGCGGGCAGCTTGCGCACCAACGTCGGCGAACACGAGCCCACTTTCTTGAAGGTCCCCAAACTGAAGGGGCCCCAGGACACGCAATAAATGCACGCAAATAAAAGCATTCCACATATTTTCCCATATTTTCTGGGTTTCTGTCTTCCCCCCCGCTGCCCATATTTTCCCATATTTTCCGGGGAATCGACGATTAATTGTGTCTGTGTGTTTTTGTTTCTCTCCTGACAAACGTAGTGGTGACAACATCCCGCGGTGAGACTCGGGAGATTCGGTGTCGCCACCGGGTTTGGGGACCGGTGAAGCTTTTCTCGGAAATGTCCCGAACGCTGGTGGGCCCAGGAGTCACAAATCCCGGCGGTAGCCCCGTGCTCCAAAATCCGGCGGTGACTCTTTGGGGATTCCAGGTCACCACCTGGATCTCGCACCACAGGGTTTGCTGAGAATTTTCCTAGGGTGGAGGGCTCAAGGTGAAATCCATCTGGGCTTGCGCACCTCGAAAACCAATCCGTCTCGTGATTCACCTCTTGCAGCTTCAAGCCTCGAACGTCCATCGAAACGTCATTTCAGATTTCACCCTTTGTCCTCCGCCCGAAGAACATGCTCGGGGTCTGGGGGCTCCCAACCTTCCTCCCCCTCTAACTTATGATGGTGGTGGTGGAAGACAGGCCCATCAGATTGTTCAGAGCGCGTTGACGCCTGGACCACAAGCTGTGTTCCTCGCGTCGCTCACGTGGGCACGCGGCTCCGGAAGAGGCCCGACGGCGGGTGCGCAAGCTCCAGGCGCGCCACAGAGGGGAGCTGGGCCGAGGGGCGTCCGCGCACCCAGGGGCCCGAGGCGCCTGCGCGGACGAGTGGCGGGCCTCCCTGACGGGGGGGAGGGCCGTGGGGGCGTGGGCGAGGGGGGGGTAGGGGGGGGGTCAAGACACTCTCCCCGCCCGCAAGCCGTCTCGTTCACTCCCACCCGCCCTCCCAACAGAGAAATCGCACCCGAGCCGCAGCATGTTCAGTGGTCGTTGTTCGATTGACAATGAGTGCAACAAAAACAAGCCCCATGCGCGCAACCCTGGGGCGAGGTGCGCCACGCGTGCCAGGCGCGCCACGCGCCGGGCGCGCCACGCGCGCCCAGGTACCCCCCCTGTGGCCCAAACGTGCCAGGCACGCCTGGTGTGCCAGATACGCCATGTGATCCACGTACGCCATGTGTGCCGCACGCTCCACCCGCGTCAGGTGCGCCACGTTCGGGGTACGCGCAAAAGTGCGCCAGGTGTGCCCGCGCACGTGGCAATACACATCGGAAAACGCGTCGGTCCCAAACACCCTTGTCGAACGAACCCAACGACGGAGGGTTTGGAACAATACAAAATGCTCGCGCCCCCCCCCGATCATGACCCAAGATGTTTCCCCAAAGTGGACTGCACATTGTTTTTCGATAGGGATGGGGAGAGGGTCCTCGTTGGTTGAGGTTGGCTGCAGGTCGCCTGGGGGAGGGGGTGTGTACTGATAGGGAGCAATGATAAAAGAGGGGGAAAGGGGGGGTCACGGATCATACTGCCCCCCTCCCCGAGGACCTGGCGGGCCCCCGGGGGGGGGGGGCTGTGGGCAGGGAGGCGAGGGAGCCACTCCTTCCGGGGTGTCCCCAGCGGGGGTCCCAGGGAGGCCCTGCCTGCGGCCGCCCCGCGGGATTCCCGGCGGGTCCCGAAGGGTAGCGCCATCGGGGGCCCCAGCGAGAGTCCTCCCTTTAGGGTCGGTGGCGCCAGCCGCGAGTCCTTTATCATAATAAAAACGTAAGCATAAACTTTCGGAGGTCCGCGCGGATTTTTCGGATCGGCGGTGGGGTCCCCTGGCGACGCCTGCGGCTCCGCCTCTGGTGCGCTCCGCGCGCTGGGGAAGGAGGCCCAGCGATCCAAATGAATTTCTGCTTAAAACGATCCCCACCAAAACCTCAGGCGTTTGTTCCCGACGGCGCGCGGTCGCATAATTGGTCGACAACTGCCGTCCCTGAATTCAAAAACTGTTCAACCGTCTTCCATGCAGTCACATTCTTCCATGTTGTGCTCTATTATGTCCTTTTGTGTTCTCGGCGGGCCGGCGTGACGTCGTGACGCCTGTGACGTTAAGTGCGCCGTCTGTTATGATGTTCCTCCGCACTTGTATGTTTCTGCTAGATTACGTTATGGTCTGATCACTTCTGTCACCGTACGATTTGAGATGCTGTGGTGTGATCTGAAATGTGGCGCTCTGCTATGTTATAACATGATATGGTATACCAGGCTGTGTCATGGCATGCTCTGCTCCGCGGTGCAGTTGAAGGTTCGGCCCAATAAAACACATTAGTTGTTATGGCGCCATTATGTATCGCTATGTTTTGCTGTCGTGGTATGAAAAATGATGTAGTGCCGTCATGCTATGTTCTGAAATGCTATGTCATGGTGTGCTTTGCGATGATCGGTTGTGATGTGTTGTGCTGCGATGTGTCGCCATATGATTTGTCGTGCTTTGCTCTGGCATGTTATGTGATGTTTTGTTTGCTGACGGCTCGGTTCTGCAAATGTGTCATGAGTTGCTCCGCTAGTATGGGTCGCTAAGCTATGTTGTCGTGGCATGATATGTTAGCTGACGTTATCATAATATGGTATGATGTGTCAAGGTGTGCCATGTTGTGCTCAGTTGTGTTATGTGTTATGTAGAATGCCCTGTCATGTTCTGTTATGGTATGTCCTGTGGTGCTATGTTGGTTGACGCATCGGCTCTGTATAATACATGATGGCATGATATGCTAGTAAGTGTCGCTACGATCAGCTGTCGTGTCATGATATGGTTTGTAATGTCGTGCCATTAATACTATGGTCTGCACATGTGTGTTATGTTATGATGGGCTGCGTTCGGTTATGTCGTGTTCTGTCGTCTTGTGTTGTGTCATGTTATGTTCGGGCATGTTATGTGATACTCTGTTATGTTTGCCGCGACATTGCTATGGTATGGTATGTCATGTTCTGTCATACTCGTGCTCTGTGGTGTCATGTCATGTTGTGTCATGTTGCGTTCTGCCATGCTCGTCGTCGCTCTGCTCTGCTCTAGTATTATGATATGCTCTGACATGCGATGTCATGATATGATCTTCCCTGCCAAAGTGTGCCGTGTTATGATCGGCTATGTTGTGGTATGTCGTGTCCTGTCCTTATGTTATATGATGCTCTGCTCTGATATGCTATGTGATGTTATGATTTGATCTATTTTGTCATGACGCCGCTACGTTCTGCTTGCCGCCGCAAGCGTCGCTGGGCCACCGCGGAGGGCAAGCGCCAGTGGCGGCGACGAAACTAGCAATGATGGATCGTGCTCCTTTTGCCTGCAAGTCCGGTCGCGCAGAGCTGGCGGCCCGATGCCCGATTGGGCCCGGCATTGCCTGGGCCAAAGAGCCGGGCAGAGCGCGCGCCTTCTTGCGCATTCCCGCTGCTCCCCCGCGCCCGTGCCCAGCCGCGCCAGGTGCGCCGCGCGGCGGGCGGCGGCGCCGGCGCCGCGCGGCACTTTCGCCCTGCGGGCGGAATCGCGAGCCCTCCGACCGCGCGGCGCCGCGTCTTGTCGCCCGACGGCGGGCCGCAAACCTCCCGAGCCGCCCGCGGCGCCCGATGCGCCGGCAGGGCCTGGGGCCGCGACCTTCCGCACGTCTGCGGCGAGCCCCCTTCGAACCCGCTGAGCTGCTCCTTGCTGCAGCGTCCTCGCTGTCTGCGCTCCCAGGGCCCCCCTGCGCAACCCGCAGGACATGGGCGCGGCCTCGGCCCCCGATTGCGTTTCTGTCGGAGGCCTAGTTAACGGCAGTTGCGGCCGCTTTTTTGTGATAGCAGCGTGGAGAAACACACAACATCATCGTGCTCGTCCTTCCTCCTCCTCCCCCGCCTCCAGGAAAGCACCTCTCCACTTTCCTCCTCTGCACCAGCAAGCGCCGCAGGCGCAGGGTGTCCTTCTTCGTTTTCAGGTGGATCGCCTCGGCGATGGACGCCAGCTGCGGCCGAGAGAGGGCGGTGATGATCACGACGACGTCCCAGCCTGCCAAGCGCCACGCCCTCTCTGCGCACCTCCTCTCGCGCGCTTCTCCCAAGGCGGGAGGAGGGCGGAGAGTGCGGGAGAGAGCGAGGGCTGTGCGAAGGGAGCGAGGCGGCCCCGAGGGGCATAGGGAAGAGAGCCGAGGAAGAGGAGGACAAAGAGGATGGGAATGGGAGGCGGGAGTGGGGATACGTATTGGGGGAGCGGAGGAGCAGTGCGTCGACGAGAGAGGCGGGAGCGGGAGACCGAGGAGAAGGGCGAGGAGGAGCGGGTCGGCGACGAGGCGACGAGGAGCAGCGGGGCGAGGACGGGGAGGGCCAGGGAGGGGAGCGGCCCCAGTCGCTCCCTGCTTCCCCTTGCTTCCCCAGTCGCGTCCTGCTCGCTTCTCCGCTGTGCTTCCTCCTTCCTCCTCCTCGCTCCTCCTCCTCCTCCTCCTCCTCCTCCTCGCTCCTCCTCGCTCCTCCTCGCTCCTCCTCGCTCCTCCTCCTCCTCCTCCTCCTCCTCCTCCTCCTCCTCCTCCTCCTCCTCCTCCTCCTCCTCCTCCTCCTCCTCCTCCTCCTCCTCCTCCTCCTCCTCCTGTGTGAGCTGTGAGCTGTTGGCGTGAAGTTCGGTACCGATGTCGCCCTCCTGCTCCTGCTCCTGCTCATGCTCCTGCTCCTGTGGGCCTTGGTTTACCCAGAAGGCCGAGATGTCGACACCTCTTTTCTGGTCCGCTGCCTGGACCACCGCGACTAGCCTGCGCCCGCGCTGGCATCCAAGCGTCAGCGGGCGCACCAGGGGGGGGAAGGGGGGAAGGCGGAAGAGGCATAGAGGAACGAGGAGAGAAGGAGACGGAGGAGGGAAAGGAGGAGGAGGAGGAGGAGGAAGAGGGGAAGGTCCAAGAAGAGGAGGGGGAGGAGGAGGCAACGGAAGGGCAAGTAAGCGACGCAAAGTGATGGGTCGCACGGAGATGGCATAGCAACCACATGCCGGCAGGGGCGCTCACGTGCGGCCTTACGCGGGAAAATGGCGCGCGACTGCCCACACAATCACAAGACCGACCGCGCATTTCCGCCGCTCTGGTGGAAGGGAAAAACGAAGGAAGAGGAAGAGGAAGAGGCGCAGAAGGATGTGGATGGGCGACGGCTCGCGGGGGGGTGGTCGAGGAGGACGAGGAGGATGAGGAAGAGGAGGGATGTAACGTCAGGAGGTGGACAGAATCCCAGACTTCCGACGTCGTGATGTTTCACGATGTGGAGCTCTGAAGCTCTCGGCACCACCCCTGGAAACTATATTCTGTCGTGGGCCGTCTCGATCGGAACGGGGCCCGAAAATTAACTCCACAGTTCACCAACAAACGCGCCCCCTCAACGGTCCCTGTCCGCTATCCGGACCCCACCCAAAGCAATTGTCCGAAGTGTTACCAATCGAGGCCACTAAGGCACCTCGAATGTCAACAAACGCCTCCAAAAGCATCCAATAACCTCAACCCCAAATACCAGAACTATGTTAGCCAGCGTGGGCCCAAGCAGTGCATTCTGGCGTGCTGCGAACTGTAACTACACCAAAGAACCACAATCAGTGGATGGCTTGAAAATTCGTGATACGGATATTGGGATCGACTGTGATCACAGTCGATAGTGAGACCGATTGTGGGATCGATCGTAAAGACGATAGTAAGATCGTGAGACCAATCATGAAGTCGATTCAATGAGATCGATCGTGAGATTGCTCGCAAGACCTATAATGGGATCGATGGTGGGATCAATGGAAACGTGGATACAAAGATCGATGGTGAGATTGATCGACAAAAGGATCGACCAAAAACCCGGGAATCCGAAAACCCGGGAACTCCGCCGCCCACTGAAATCAGCCCGGAACCAATTACCGGAAACACGGGAACCTTGACGCGGGAACCTGGGAACCCAGCCGTCCACCGAGATCGGCCCCGCACTTTCGTCAAATCATTCAATCTCCGTTGGGACCCCTTCAGTGCAAGCGCTGATGGGGACATATACGCGATGAAATCTATGTGGTGCGTTATATGCGGTGCAATGTGCGTGGTGCACTGTCTGCGGTGTCAAATACGTGGTCGAGTCTACCTGGTGCAATCTACGTGGCGCAAATAATTTGCTGAACTTGAAATTGTCTTCTCCACTGCTCGCGCAAACATCCCACCCACCCACCCGCAACTTGGTTTGCAAAACCTGTTAAGACCGACTAGGACGACACCGACGACAACGACTAGGACGACACCGACGACGTCTCCGACGACTTCGACGACGACAACGACGCCGACGCCGACGACGACGAAGACGACGACGACGACGCCAACGAAGGCGACGACGAGGAAGGAGGAAGGACGACGACGGCGACAGCGACGACAACGACGAAGGAGGAGGGAGGACGGTGACGACGCGAACGACGACGAAGGAGGAAGGACGGCGACGCCGACGACGACAACGACGAGGGAGGAGGGAAGACGACGACGACAACGACGACGACGACGGCGACGACATAGGAGGGACGACGATGAGACGCCGACGACGGACGACGACGACGACGTGGGAGGAGGAAGGACGACCACGGCGACAACGACGATGGAAACGACCACGACGCCAAAGAGGACGACGACGACAAACAGGAGAAAAGACAGAGGACGACGTAGGCGACGACGACGACGACGCGGGAGGAGGGAGGACGGCGACGACGACGACGACGACGACGCAAGAGCGCGCGCGCACGCATTTGTTGAAAATCCGTGTTGCGAAGCCTTGGGCTCTTGTAGGTTTTTTGGACGCACGATTTTGAAATCCTTCCGAAATCGATGGGTTTCGAAAGTTTTCGGCATACGTCCGCGACGACGCGCGCGTCTGCACTTCGTCTCATTTTTTGCAGAGGATTCTCGCGACGGCACACTCACAAGGGCGTTCGACAGATTTCGACATGCGCGCGCGCGAAGCCCGTTTGGTAGCATTTTGTGAAAATCTTGAAAAAAAAAACCTATGGTTTTCTTAAGATTTTGCAAGAGCTCGCGCGAAAGTTTTTTTAGCAAACCAATGTTGCGAAACCATGTGTTTTTGTAGGTTTTTCGGAAACTCGATTGCGACATCCTTCCGGCACCGAAGGTTTTTGAAGGATTTCGGCATGCGCGCGCGACGACGCGCGCGTGTGCACTTCGTCACATTTTTTGCAAGGGATTCGTGAAAAAGTGTTATGTTAGAAAGAAAAATGTCCCCGCATAGTGTTATTTGACAAGGAACCGCAGGGGGGAGAACCCGGCCTGGCTGGGATGGTACGAAATTCGTATTTAGAATGGACATGTGGTCAGAATCATATATGATTTACAGCACGCGCGGGGTAACCGATAAGTCCAGGGGGGGGGTAGAATCTATTAGTCTTTTAGAAAGGAGAATCCACTTCGACTGTCTTGAAGCTGTCCTCTCCGCTGCTCGTGCAAACATCCCACCCTCCCACCCGCAACTTGGTCGCAAGACATCTTCAGACAAGACCGTCACGGTAGGTACTGCGTGGCACTTGGCCACGACACCGATGCCGACGACGACAGCGACATCGACGACGACGGCGCCGCCGACAGCGACTGCGACGACACCGACGACGTCTCCAATGTTTTCGACGACGACAACGACGACGACGACACCGACGACGACGACAACGACGCCGACGACGACGACGAAGACGACGACGACGTCGCCAACGGAGACGACGACGAGGGAGGAGGAAAAACGACGACGGCGACAACGACGACAACGACGATGGAGGAGGGAAGACGGCGACGACGCCAACGACGAAGAAGGAGGAAGGACGGCGACGCCGACGACGACAACGACGAGGGAGGAGGGAAGACGACGACGATGACAACGACGACGAAGACGACGACGACGGCGACGAAATAGGAGGGACGACGACGAGACGCCGACGACGGACGACGCCGACGAGGGAGGAGGATAACGACGAGGGAGGAGAGAAGACCACGACGACGACGACGACGACGACGACGACGACGGCGACGAAATAAGAGGGACAACGACGAGACGCCGACGAAGACAACGAGGGAGGAAGGACGACCACGGCGACAACGACGACGGAAACGACGACGCCACCAAAGACGACGAGGAAAGACAGAAGACGACGACGGCGACGGCGACGGCGACAACGACGACGAGGGAGGAGGAAGGACGACGACGACGACGACGCAAGAAAGCGCGCGCACAATTTTGTTGAAACCCATGTTGCGAAACCTTGTGTTTTGTATGTTTTTTGGACGCACGATTTAAAAATTCTTCCGAAACCGAAGGTTTCCGAAAGATTTCGGCATACGCCCGCGACGACGCGCGCGTCTGCACTTCGTCCCATTTTTTGCAGAGGATTCTCGCGCCGGCACACGCGCAAGAGCGTTCGACAGATTTCGACATGCGCGCGCGAAGCCCGTTTGGTAGCATTTCGTGAAAATCTTGGAAAACCTATGGTTTTCTTAAGATTTCGCAAGAGCCCGCGCGTAAGTTTCTCTTTGAATCAGTGTTGCGAAACCATGTATTTTTGTATGTTTTTTGGAATTTCAATTTTGAAATCTCTCCGGAACCGAGAGTTTTTCAAGGATTTCGGCATGCGCGCGCCACGACGCGCGCGTGCGCACTTTGTCCCATTTGTTGCAAGGGATTCGTGACAAAGTGTTATGTTGGAACAAAAAATGTCACCGCATAGTGTTTCTTACAAGGGAACCGCAGGGGGGGGGAACCCGGCCTGGCTGGGATGGTACGAAATCGTATTTAGGATGGACATGTGGTCAGAATCATATGTATTTTACCGCACGCGCGGGGTAACCGATAAGTCCGGGGGGGGGTAGAATCTATTAGTCTTTTAGACAGGAGAATTAATTTCCGTTCGCAATAAATTGCCCAGTCCACTGCTCGCGCAATCATCCCGCTTGCAGAACCCATGCGGCGGTGACTGCGATGAGAGTTTGGAATTGGTTGGTGCATCTCTGCGGCCGCGCTGGCCCGCGCATGCTCGCGCGCGCGGCGGCCATATAGTTTGGCGCGGCCGACGCGGCCGCGGTGGCGCTGACCGCTGGGCACTTCCCAGCGGGCACTGCAGTGCGACTCGACGACGTGGGCGGGCGCGGTATCATGGCGACGTCGACAACGGTAGAAACGAGCATGATAATAGCGAACATGGTGACGATGGTGAAAACGACGGCGGCAAGGCCAAAGACGGCGCCGATGCTGATAACGCCGACGGTGACGGCGCTCTCGCGTCGGTGGTGTAAGTTTCGGAGGGAGTTCGGCATGCGCGCGCGACCGACGCGCAAGAGTGGCCCGCGTGGTATGATGCGAAACGGATCGTGCCCGCCACCACGCGACGTGCGGCGAAAGGGGCCCGTTTGGCAGAATTCCATGAACATGTTGAAACACCTATGGTTTTCTTCACGATTCGCAGGAGTGCGGGCGCAGTCATCTTTGAAAACTAGCGCTGCAGAGCCATATGTGTTTTATATGTTTCGGAGCATTCGATTTCGAATTTTTAAGACACCTAAGCCTGTTGAACGACTTCAATACGACCATGCGCGCGCGGACTTCGTCCCATCTGTTGCAAGGGTTCTTGCGACACCACGCGCGCAAGTTCGCGCTACTTTGACATGCGCACGCGAGAGGCCCGCTCGTTAGCAATTTATGACCACGTGGAAGCACACATGGCTGCAAGAGCCCGAGCGCAAGTGTATGTATGTATACGAATATGTGTGAATCTTGCGGAGAGGGGCCGCGTGGCTTGACCTTACGCGATTTTTACGCGGCACTACGCGGGCATTTACGCAGGGCACTGTTCTCAGGACGACTGTGCCCGTGGTTAGTGGTAGGGCTACGACTCCTCAGGAACGGCCGTGTGGCCTGACCTTACGCGATTCTTACGCGGCGTTACGCAAGCATTCGCGCAGGGTTGTGCTCTCAGGGCGATGCCTGTTCCTCTTGTTATACAAGGGCAAAAACAGATCTTCTGTGTATATATGTGCAGGTGTTCGGGGCACTCGATTCTGACATCCTTGCGAAACCGTGCGTTTCCCCACAAACTCAGCATGCGCCCGCGACGACGCGACCGTGCGATGTTCGTCCCATGTGTTGCACGAGTGCGCGCGCATAGTATAGTTGGCCAGAGAATGTGAAGGGGGGTGCCGGTTTAGCTGGGGTGATACGAAGTCATGTTCAGGATGGACAATGGGACAAAACCGTGTGCAAATTGCAATGCGAAAAGGGTGTCCCTCACGTCCGGGGAGGTGGGAGGGTATGAGGGTAGATGTTACTACTGTCTTAGAAAGGAGAACTATCCCTGCCTAGCTTGAAGTTGCCAACTCCATTGCTGGCGCAATCATCCCACCAACCCATCCGCGACTTGCTAAACCCATGCAGCGGCGATTGCGATGACTGCTCGGCGCTGACCATCGCATCGCCGAGGCCGCGCAAGCGCTCATGCTCGAGCGCGCAGCTGCCAGCTAGTCTGGCGTGACTGGCGCGGCAGCGATAATTAGCGCTGACCGCTGGGTACTTCTCAACGTGCACTCCCGTGCGGGTCGGCGACTTGGGCAGGCGCGGTAACATGGCAACGTCGACAAAGGTAGACGCGATGATCGTAGCGATGCTGGTGGCGATGATGACAAAAACGACGGTACGGCCAGCGACGGCGACGAAGCTGATCACGCCGACGACGATGACGGCGCCCTCGCGTCGGTGATGAATATCGACAAAGAGTTCGACATGCGCGCGCGGACGACGCGCGACAGCGGCTCGCATGGCGTTATTTGACGCGGATCGCGCCCCCACAACCCAGCACGCGCGCAGCGGCGTTCGAATGGTTGCGACATGCGGCGCGGGAGGCCCGTCTGGCAGAACTTCGGCCTCGTGGGGCCAAGAGGGCCCCACGACGGCAAACTCTGAAGGGGCCCTGGGACACACAAATAAATACACACACAAATAAGCATAGTCCCCATAATTTGCAATATTTTGGGGTTTTCCGTCTTCCTCCCCACTTCCCATACTTTCCTATATTTTCTGGGGAATCGACGATTAATTGTGTCTGTGTTTTTCCCTCCAGAAAATCATTGATGCGCCTTAGATGTTTGAAGGATGTATGCGCTCTCGCCTCGTCGCCTTCCCGACGCTCCCAGACGGCCAGAGGAGGCCCCCAAGACCGCCCCAAAACGGCCCCAAGACGGCCTCCAAGAGGGCCCCAAAACGGTCCGAGAGGGCCCCAAGACGAGCCGAGAGGCGCCTCAAGCGGTCCAAAGCGGGCCCCAAAGCGGCCCCAAAAGGGGCGCAAGAGAGGGAACACGAACCGACAACGCGAGCCTTCCGCCCCAAGACAGGAGGCCCCAGGAGGCCCCAGGAGGCCCCAAGAGGCCCCCAAAAGGCCTAAAAAGAGGCCCCAAACGGCCCCATATGAGGCGTCCAAACTGCCTCCAAGAGGCCCACGAGAGACCGCCCACGAGATCCCAACGAATATCCAATAGGCTTCATACCCACAACCCAAGCACGGTGGCAGGATGGGCCGAAGGCCACTCGATATTTTCATACACGCGGTCCGCAAAACAAACTTGCGGCTGTCTGCGCACCAAATTGTGGGGCATTTCACTTACGCGATGCCCAACAACTTCCGCAGCGAAGGCCTCGTCGCATCCGGCTCCTCCCCTCCGTCGCCGTGCTCCCCGTTCTGCTCCAACCTTCTCCTTTCCGTCGTTCTTGGGGAGACCGAAAAGGTACCCATACCGCTGCTCCTCGGACCTGTCCTGGGGTGCGTTCTGACTAGGATTGCCAGGCGAATCCAGCGGTGGCGACGAGGACCTCCCAAGAGGCCCCGACGGGGGGAAACGAGGGACGGGTGGAGGTATGGGCACCATTTCCTTCTCCGACTCCCCCCCTCCTCTCGTGGTTCTCACCCTCCGCGTCGCTCTCCTGGCTCTCGCCGTCCCCCTCCGCTTCCTCCAGGAGGTGACTACCTACCAGACCACCCCAACCCAACCCGAAGACCCGAATTTCGGGTTGGGGGGGGTATGGGCTCCATATGTGTTTTTTCGATGTTCCCGGGCCCCCCCCAACTAGAAATCGAGGGTAAATCTGAGCCTTCGGGTTGGGTTGGGGTGGTTCGGTGGGTGGTGAGGAGGGCGCACACGCACGACAGCAGATGGCCACGGAGACGAGCGGCGCGGTGGACACGGAGGAGCGAGGCCGCACCGGGGGGGCGCGCGCAGCACCTCGAAATATCTCAATCTCCGCCCCTTCCTCCTTTTTTTTTTGAAGTCCTCCGCCTTCCCCTCCCCCTCCTCCAGCTTTTCCCCCACGCTCACTCTCCCTCTCCGGGTCCTCCTTACGTCCTCCTCCCCATCCGTCCCCTCCCCTTCACCTCGCCCTCCTCCCAGCATTGCCCCTCACCGCTCTTCCTCCCCCACTTCACTCCACCCCACGGCCCTCGTATACCTCTCCTTCCCCCCACAAGGAAGCATTCCAAGTGGAGCCAGATTGCATGGGGTCACCGTATCGCCGGTGCATCGGCGACGCGGCGCTATCATCCGATGCTTCGTACCCACTCGAGCCCCCTTTGGGAGGCCTGGCTCCTGCCGCCTCATCCTCCACCCTGTACTTCTCTCCTCGTCCTCCTCCTCCTCCGCAGTACTACGCCACCACCCACTCGTCTGCTTCTTCTCCACTTTCTGCCCCTGCCTCCTCGTCCTGTGGCTCGCCCTCCTTCTCACTCGTCGCCGAATGCCGCTAGTGCTTTCCCTGGTCAGATCGACGTCGCCCTCCTCAGAAAGCGCTCCCCGGGCTGCTCCGAAGGCTCGGCCACGGTCTGGCCATCGCTCGGACGTCCATTCCCTGTGTTTTTTTTCGGTTTCGTGCGTGGCTTTTTCGCCAAATGATCAAGGACGCTCTTCGATGGTCGTCGCCGAAGGAAAAATGCACACGTCCGAGCGATGCCAGGCGGTGGGGAAACCACTGGAGTTAGCTGCTGCAGCAGAGCGGCCGCGCGGGCGGCGACGAGGCACGAGCAGTGGCATCCGTACCCGTCCCCTCCTCTAGGACGGAACCAGGGCGAGGACACAATCGGACCACAACACATCTTGAGGGCATAAAAAACGACCCTACCCTGGGTTACAAATGCGTGGTCTGTAAACCTCCTGGGAACCCCCAAAACCTCGAGCTGCCAGGACGCGGCACATCACGCAGGGTTTACCCTGTCAGCCCACAGGAGTTTCAGCGCACAGCGCCTCGTAAACCAGGGTAGGAGCGTTTTTTATACTCTTGAACATCGGGGGTCTCTGATATCTGGCGGTTCTAGTTGATGCATCGGGCATGGCAAACCGTCCGGAACGCTCTGAGAACACCCCAGGACGCTTAGGAACTATCTATCCCGATCCCAGTCCGGCTAAGCCTTCGCCTTCCTCTGAAGAAAGGGGGGCTCGGGCGGGGGTGCTGGTCGAACAGTTTGTCCGGCCTCTCGCTTCTCACGACCGGGGAGGGCGACTCCTCCAGGACGCCGTACCTGCACCCGCCGCTGGCGCCCACCCCCTCCCCATTCGCCACATCGTCGTGCTCTGGAAGCCGCCGTCGTCGTCGTCGTCGTCGTCGTCGTCGTCGTCGTCGTCGTCGTCGTCGTCGTCGTCGTCGTCGTCTTCGTCGTCTGTGTTGTCGTCGTCTGTATCGTCGTCGTCGTCCTCGTCGTCGTGTTCGTCGTCGTTTTCGTCTGTGTCGTCGTCGTCGCCACCGTCTCGTCGCCGCCGCCGCCGTCACAATACGACCAAGGCTCGGGCACAACATCGCACGATGGGTGATAGAAGCTTGCCGTGTCGGAGCGGCAAACCTGGAGACGTGGCCCGCCGAACCAAGCCGAACAAGGCTAAATCGTAGGCGGTACGGCTACCCCCTCACTCCGCTCGCCTTTTTGTTCAATGTCCGACGTTACAAGTGCGCAAGGTACGCCAATGCGATATACGTCAGATGTCACTGCAACTGCCCACTGGGCAACCATCTGGCAACGGCTACATGTTCAAGAGGCGCGCGGGGAAACGCGCCACACCACGCACAAACAACCATGAACAGATGGCCCATCGGAGTCGTGATGGGCACGGACTGCGCAAGTCGGTGCAAATGCGAATCGCCATCGTCAATCGGTCCAACCCTGGCTCCGACCATCCTCCCCCTCCTTTCGGGGAGACGTAAGACCCGGGTACGGGGGACTCGGGTTGGCCCGACGAGGTCGTCAAAAAAATGACGAGGCCGAGCCTGCATTTTGACGAGGCCTCCCGCTGCAGACATCCCACGAAACTCCTCCTCGTCAAAATCCGAGGCGCGGTCGTCAAAAAACGATGGCGAACCCGAGTCCTGGCAAACCCGGGTCTTACGCTCCCCCGATCCTTATCCGGACCTCACCCTCTGAGTGTACCGGACCGGGCCATCGCATCGCACTCGTCGGACGCAAACCTCAACCCCTCGACCCAACGGCGGCGTTCCCGCTTGGCCCGGCACCGGAGATGATCCCTGGACCAATCCCAAATCCAATCCTGTGCGGACCCAGCCGTGGCGACGAAAGGGTGGGGGGCACCACCAGCAACAAAAAGGCCTGTCGTTGCCCCGATTTGCCCTCCAACGTGGGGGATGCCGGCAGGCCCGCCACGAATGACGCTCTCAGGGGCCACACCTGCGGTGCACGCCGACGCCACACCACCAGCCAATCGAGAAGAGGGAAAGGGGGGAGAAGAGGAATTGTAGAGCAATCCCCGACTATCTGACGACGCGTTTTCTTTTTTGGGGGGGAACTCCCGACCGCCTCGCCGGGAGTAGCTTTCCGTCCCGGATCCATGTTTGGATGTCCTCGGGACCAAAAAGCGGCCACTGGGGGCAAAACGCAAAGAGAAACGCCGGGTTTGAAATTGCACTGCGACGTACCGGGCCCATCTGCATCGAACGTTTGGAAAGGCTAGTCCAGCTTGATAAAAATAGCGACAACGCAGGAACCGTGCTTTGTTGCGCAAGCTGCATGGGTTGCGCGCGCGTTGCGCGACTCGCATATGGAAGAACGCGGGGTGAAGCCTGAGGCCCGAAGAGGAAGGGGACGGGAACGGGAGCCCCGAAAAATGCAAAAGTGGGTTCGAAGACAAACAAAAACCCGGCAGCAGCGAGATAACGGAGGATGGGGGAAGAGGACAACATATGCCTGGCGCCCTGCTAATTAGTTCGCCCACCATCTTCGTGGATTTCTACTTGCCTGCAACTGTCAGTGCGGAAGCCAAGCGCCCGCGGGCGCGCCGCCAGGTCTGCGGGCCGCCCGCGGAAAGGGAACTCGAGCCCAGGGTCCCGGAGCATCGAAAGGTTCTCGACCTTCGCGGCCTAGGAGAAAATCGCGTACGGATGTAGCCAAAGCCTGCGCAAGTCCTCCGCGTCCTTGCGTCCGGCGTCGACAATGTTTCCGTGGTGCGTCGTCTGGCCCTGGCAGGCCGTGGACGTCAGGACCTCGGCTTGGGAGATGAACGGGCGACCTGATGTCTGCGCAAGTCGAGCGGTATCGAGGTATGTGGCTCGATGACAACGAAGCCGTCGGTCGATGTGGTCATCGAGCTCGGCGAGCGTCTTACAGCAGGGGCCCACCTCGAAACTGGCGTCAGTTTAGGAGTTCGCAGCCCCACAAGGATGGCGAGGTCTAATCGAAACCTGTGGTAAAACGCCATCCGCTGGCCCCCATCCACCGCCCTCGAAGTGCCGTCTAATTCGCAATTCACAGCCCGGCAAGGATGCCCAGGTCTAATCACACCCGCACTTTCGGGCGTATGTGGCTCAGAGCGCTTCCTCTTCCAAGCCCCCTTTTTCCCCTTCGGGAAGGGGTTTAACCCTCCCCCTCCCCACTCCCCGGGACCTGGAAGGGATGTTTACCGATTGGAACGCCATGAAGGCCTCGGCGAGAAGGCGGACAGCCTTGATTTTACTCCAGTGTCGGGCCAATGTTGGCCTCCTGGGGGGGCCAATTAAGCCCCCCCCCCCCCCTGTTTGATCGATCTCCAAGAAGATGGCCCCCAGGGCTCCCCAGAGGGCTCCAAGATGCGACCAGGCCGCACAGCGTCGATTGCGCTAGAAACGCACTGTTTGGGGCCCACGCTGGCTAACACTTGTGTTTGGAGCCGGCCCTTCTCCAGCCCAGCGGGGGGAGAATCGGGAAGACGCAAGGCTCGGGTGCGGGGGACTCGGGTTGGCCTGACGGGGCCATCAACGAAAATGACGAGACCCAAATCTGAAATTTGACGCGAGCTTCCGCTGCAAACATCCCACGAAAACTGGACTGTCAACATCCAAGACGCGCTCGTTAAAAATCGTCGGCAAACCCGACTCCCGGCTTACTCGAGTCCTACGTTTCCCCGAGAGAAGGAGGAAGGAGGGAGGAGGAGGAGGGAAAATCCTCAGACGACCCTGTGCGACTGCATCGGGAAGGGCGCGAGCTAGACAGTGCTTTCCGTTTTCCTGAAAGCTGCCCACGAAATTGCCAGCACATTGTTTAGCTCGCACCCTGGCATTGGGCACCCCTGGCACTGGCACTGACATTGAGATCGACCCTCCTGCAGCCCAGCAGGCGAGGAGGGACGGAGGGAACGAGGGGGGAGGGGGGGAACGAGGGAAGAAGAAAAAGGAGGAAAGAAGAGAAGAGGAAGAGGAGGAGAGCGAGCGAGCGAAACCCTGGGCCCCTGCGTCCACTGTAATCAGAAGCCCTCTGCGAACGCAGACCCGCGCCGGGCATCGAGACACTCAAAAACAGGATATGGGTGACCTTCAAAGGCGTGCTGTCGGTCAAGTCGCCCTGTTGGCGGGATGCGCACAAGCCAAGAGCCGCCCCACAAGCGGGGTGTGCCGCCTGGGGTGCTCCACGGCACTGCTCCTACCCCCCTCCAGAGGGAAGAGGAGAAGGAAGAGGAAGAGGAGGAGGATAAGAACCAGGAGGAGAAACTGGGACTGGGATCGATGACGATGTCATATTACTACACCGCATGTGCCCTGAGCCCGCGGAGCAGCGAGACGACATGGATGAGCGCGCGCACGCAACGGAAGACGAATTCCATGAAATACCATGGTTGGCAAAACAACCTTCAAGAACTGAACGAATATGACATATCACGGCGCACCCATTGAACCAGTACAACGCACACCGGGAAGCCACCACCAAGCAGCAGACATTGTGAAAAGCCACGGCCCACAACTTGGATTATCCCAGTGCGATCCTACCTAGGAGTTGGAGCCCCTAGGAAAGCAGCAATAGTAGTAACAGTAAAGCTAAGCTAAAGCTAAGCTAAAGCTAAGCTAAAGCTAAGCTAAAACTAAGCTAAAGCTAAGCTAAAGCTAAGCTGAAGCTAAGCTAAAGCTAAGCTACGCTATATCTAAGCTAACGCTAAGCTAAGGCTAAGCTAAAGCTAAACTAAAGCTAAGCTAAACCTAAGCTGACGCTAAGCTAAAGCTAAGCAACAGCTAAGCTACATCTAAGCTAAATCTAAGCTACAACTAAGCTACAGCTAAGCTAAAGCTAAGCTAAAACTAAGCTAAAGCTAAGCTAAATCTAAGCTAAAGTTAAGCTAAAGCTAAATTAAAGCTAAGCCTTAGCTAAAGCTAAAGCTAAAGCTCCCAGGGGCCTGGGGGAACCGCTCCCAGGGGACTGGGGGAACCGCCCGGGGCGGGTTGCACTGCCCGGCCCCTTTAAGCCAAGACAGTAAGAACCCTTCTAGGCAGAGCCTAGGTAGGGAAAACAGCATCGAAGTCAGACTTGGGGAAAGCAATTTCACCTTATTCGAGTACCTCATGTCCTTCGGCACTTTTCCACGCGTGGGATAAGTCTCCAGAGCAACGAAGACGACGCGAATGAGTGCGCGCACGCACTGGAAGACGACGAACTCCACGAAAACGGCCGCCAAACTTAACCTCGCAGAAAAAGCGCGTGTGAAAGACCGCGGCCCAACCAGGAAACTCTGTAAGCAGCGCAACGTACACCTGGAAATCACAACCAACAACAGACTCCGTAAAACCTCACGGCCCACCACTTGGAAACAACATTAACAGAAAACTTCGGAAACAGCCCTTCACCATATTGGACGTACCTAGAACTCCTCAGCATTTTCCCGCGCGTGGGATAAGTCTCCGGCGGCAACCAAAATATGTATACCTGCGCCCGTGAGCAACGAGGTAAAACATGAACGAAAACCAGCTACCTCGAACAGCAGAATGAAGGCGAGGAAAACCACTGACCACAGGTGGCGCCGACCCGAAGCACGAGTACCACCACGTGGACGGACCTGGTAAACTTGAGATTTTGCTCCGTGAGGCCTGAACGGCAGGAATGCACTTCAGACCTTATGGGCATCCCTCGAGCGCAGTAGAAAATCATCCCAGTGCGACCCTACCTAGGAGTTGGAGCCCCTAGGAAAGCAGCATTAGTAGTAACAGTAAAGCTAAGCTAAAGCTAAGCTACAGCTAAACTAACGCTAAGCTAAAGCTTAGCTAAAGCGAAGCTAA